CTAGCGCTCTACCACTTGAGCCACAGCGCCACATCCGGCTTTTTTCTGCTTATGTAGTGCTGAGGAATCGAACCCAGGGCCTCATGCATGCGAGGCAAGCACTCTACCTCTGAGCCACCTTCCCAGCCCCTGCTGGGTTCTTTTTATTGGAGCTTGTAAATCTTCATTCTTACAAACCTTGCCTATGGGGCTGGACATAGTACACACCTGTAATCCCACCACTCAGGTAGGAGGGTGACAGTCTGGACAGTGTAGGCTATATAGGGAGTCCCTGCCTCAGAAAGATAAGCAACCAAAAAGAAACAGTTGCTTGAGAGGCCTTACACTGTCATGAAATGTGTTAACTGTGTATTGCCTCCTTTTCTAGTCAGATATGTATAGCTTGGGTGTGATCCTGCTGGAGCTCTTTCAGCCATTTGGGACGGAAATGGAGCGTGCAGCGGTTCTCACAGGTGTCCGAGTGGGCCGGATCCCCGAGTCCCTCAGTAAGAGGTGTCCAGTGCAGGCCCAGTACATCCAGCTCCTGACCAGGAGGGATGCTTCCCAGAGGCCGTCTGCCCTGCAGCTGCTTCAGAGCGAACTTTTCCAAACATCTGGAAATGTAGGTAACTTTTTTAATCCTGGGGAAAATAGGAAACTTCAATTGAATGTGTTGAAATTGTGAATCTTATTTCATGGAAAACAGTTGAGCTTTGAATACAATTTTTGGAAATAAAACAGTGAATCCTGTTCTCACACCTCCCCATGTCAAGTGCTAGTGTGTGCCACTGGCACACTTGGATTCTTGTTCAGATGAGCAAGTGAGTAAGCAAGCTGGCTCATTGCCTGCACTCTGTGCTGCCCTAAGATGGTAATACGAGCTTCCACATCCAGCTTCACCAAGCAGTGAAAAGTTTTAGTTTTCCTTCCCAACCATAATAAAGAGCCTTTTCTAGATTATTATACAAGTATCTTTCTAGTCAAAAGGGACACAGACAGCAGTAACTCCTGAGGACAATGGTGGCAGAGTTGACTTCAGAGCCTTCAGGGTTCACAGCCAAGTGGAGTTGCCTTTGAGTCCAGTGGGACTTGGCCCCAGGGCTGACTTTCCCTTCCTCTTTCCTGCCATGTGGCTGCAGTGCCAAGAACAGTTCTCTGCAGATAAGATTGTTCCTCTAGAAGCCTCCTAAGATACGGTTGAAGCTTGGTTCAGGTCCTCTAGTGCCTTGTGCAGTATGGTCCCCAGCACAGTGATGAGCGGCACCAAGGCTGCCGGAACCTGTATGTTAGCAGGATTCCTAGGTGGGTTTCAGGCAGTGTGAGAGCAGCAGCATATGAATGTGGCTCACCCAGCAGGGGCACCAGATCAGAGCTAAAAAGTCCCTGACACTTGGTAGACCTGACAGGTCCTCTCCAGTCCTGCAGGATAGTGAAAGAAATCAGAGGAGGAGTAGTGCCTTTAAAAGAACCAACTCATGACACTGTTCAAAAAAAAGTCCCCATTCATTACCTGACCCATATAGCTATAACCTCTCTGTACATCACCTTTATAATAACCAAAAAATACATAAATTCTAAACAACAACAAAATAGAATCAGCTCATGCTGGGTGCTAGTGGCTCACACTTGTAATCCTAGCTATTCCAGGCTGAGATCTGAGGATCATGGTTCAACCCAGCCCAGGCAGGAAAAGTTCTTGAGACTCTTTCTCCAATTAACCACAACACAAAACAAGCCAGAAGTGGAGCCATGGCTCCAAGGGTAGAGTGCTAGTCTTGAGCAAAAAGGGGCTGGGAAGGTGGCTCAGTGGTCGAGCGCTTGGCTTGCATGCAGGAGGCCCTGGGTTCGATTCCTCAGCACCACATGAGCAAAAAAGAAAAAAAGCAGGAAGTGGTGCTGTGGCTCAAGTGGTAGAGTATTAGCCTAAAGGCACAAAAGCTGAGGGGCTGCTCAGCTCAGGCCACTCCCCCCCCCCGCCCAAGTTGAAGCCCCCAAGTCTGGTACAAAAAAAAACAGCAGAAAAGAAGATTCACTTTTGAACTGATCTTGTACATGTTGCCCTTTTTCCCACTTCACTGTTTCTGAAGCCATAGATGTCATATTGTTTTTGCAATGAACTTGCACTTTAAAGTGGCACCAGTTACCTCAGGAGCCTGATGTTCCTGGAAGCTGTCTTCCTTCTGACTTTAAGGTTAAGTAAATAGGTGCTGCAGGGAAGCCTACCCCTTCACTGCCCTTGACAGACAACATCAGTTCTCAGGATTAAAGGCCGCACCTGGCCAGTAGCAGGCACCCAATCAACATTGTTGAGTGCCCCCTTGCAGAATCCAGGCAGACTGATGCAGATGAAACCCCGCTCATCCACAGGGCAGTTCGTGTGCCTTCCTCCCTCATAGGTGGATGCTCAGTGCACACAAAGCACACTTCACATCCTGAGCTCCACTCAATCCTCACACCAGGGAACTGCACCCTCAGGGCTGAGTCCAGCTTGCCCCAGCCGTGAGAGCTGACCGTGCAGGCTCCTGGCTGAGTGGAAGGAAGCTGCCTCAGCCACACCAGTGTCCTTCCCTGGAGGAAGTCCACAATCAAAGCTGGTCGTGCCGTGCTTAGAAGGGCCTGCCTTTTGCCTCCAGTAGCCAATTCTTTTTCTTCTTCCTTTTTTTTTTGTCGGTTTTGGGGCTTGAGATGACACTCTCTACGTGTCACCTCCATTGTTCCTCCAACGAATAGTCGCTTCTTTTTTTTTAGGTGAGACAGGTCTAGCTAGGTAGTCCAGGCTGGCCTCAAATTCACAGGCCCGTCTCAGTCTTCTCAGTTCAGGGATTTCAGGCTCTTAAAGTTAGAAATCCTTTCTTCAATATAAACAGCTGAAGATTTTCTTATTTTTGATGAACACTTTGGTTTCTCAGCAACTGTTCAAGAGGTGTTAGAAAATTCATGACTGGCCGGGCGCTGGTGGCTCATGCCTGTAATCCTAGCTACTC